ATTCCAGAAGGTTCTCCATCCGTCCATGGCATATCGCCAGTTTTGTCGCCAAATGTGGCAACCCTAAAACTGCTTTGCGGGGAAGCTATCTCACCGTGCCTGGACATTTCGTAACAATACATTATCTTTTATATCTTGAGGGATACTAAACGTAGCATAAAACAAGCTGGCTGGTTTGGATTTCTTTGTCTAGGCAAATCAAACCTAATGATCTCAACTGTCAACTCAACCTCGTGATCTCAACTATCTAGTGGCATACGAATATCTTTCTTGATGCTCAGGCAAACGCTCATTCATATTTGATCACCCTATATATATTGACTTTGGAAATGCAAACTGAAGGCTTGGAAAAAAAGCCTCTTTTTATGAAGGACCCTTACACATTAATATAGAACATGGGGATCACACAAAGAGACTATTTTTAGTCAGTGTGTTAATCAACTACCTGACAGTGATAAATTCTCGTTTCTTATTTACCTGTCCTTTGAGATATTAAATTTTCAAGTGAAAATTTAAATGAAAAATAAATTAGCCCAACTATTTCTACCTGGACAACATATGAGATGGTATGTAGTTCGTCCACCACAAGAAGAAACTTCATCTCCCCTTTTACGGAAGGGGAATTCATTTCAGTGACTGAAGTGTATCAGACCAAAGGCTTTACTGTGTGGTTTCAATTAGATTTGATGTCATGAGCTTAGCCAATAATTCTCTTTTTATTGAAGAGATTTTTTCATGTGTTTTTATTAAAAATAGTTCTAGATATTAATTTTTTATTAAAAAAGTTCTTTTTTAGCCAAAAAATTTGTAAGTCAAATTGATACATGAAGACTGAAGGGAATTCATAAATTCAATATTATTAATAAGCATAGCAATTTTTTTAATGTCCTTATATGTAATGAAAGCTTTAATTTTAGTGATGTAGAACATCGTGTAGTATCATAAGTATAAATGCACTGAAAATGGAAAATTAAATTTAAGGAAAAATAGAAACAAACTTCTACAAAAAAGGGCTTTACATTAATTGAGTGCAGTGAAAGGTAATTTTCTGGTAACTCCAGGTCATTATCATGTAACGCCACAGAATTTACCTTTGCTACTCAGAAATATGCACATTTTCGTGTTCTTTTGGCATGCAAGGAGATGTTTCAGATTTTACTTTCAAGGATTATATGAGTAGTTGAATAAAATTTTGTATGTAGAAAGTGGAACATGTTGGTCCGGCGAATTCTAAATGGACTGTAACTCTCAATTAAACTACTTAACAAACTACTCTGTAACATATCTTTATCTTTATTATACTAACTTTTGGAAGACGCTCAGGCTCCCACAATCACTCTCTACTTCGCCATTGAAGCCAACTCTAAAGTAATTAACATTATTTTTTCAGCAGTAACGATGGCAGCGCCATCTGGCTTCAGAGGGACTTAACACTCCCCCGGATTGAAATTACAAAATTTCAAGAAATTATACAAACATTCTTAAACAAAGTTAATATACTTATAAACAACATAATATACTATTACTATAACTACAGCTATTACAATACTATAACAATATGATACATATGCAAAAAAATATAATTTCAGTTTTTTATCGGAAGAACGGCGATCTTGGTTATCGCTCTTTTCAATTCTCCTGATTTTGTTTTGATTTTAACCACTCTTACTTTATTGTCAGATCCATGATAGACTTTAATAACCCGACCTAATATGCATTTGCAAATTGGCAGATAATCCTCCTTGACGAGTACTATAGTACCAACAGAAATATTGTCCTTCTCTATCATCCACTTGTTTCTCTGCTGCAGAGTTCTTAAATAGTCATTTGACCATTTCTTCCAGATAATCTGAACTACTTTCGTTCTTCTCTGCCACTGGCTTAACCGATTTTCATTTACGTCTATTATCATTGGCTCCGGAATCATCTGTATTGATCTCCCTATTAAGAAATGACCTGGGGTCAAAACGTCATAACAATCAAAATCATTGGAATTAGGTGTAAGAGGTCTCGAATTTAGTATTCCCTCTACCTGCACAATTATAGTGTCAAACTCCTCATATGTAAAACGCAAATTTCCTATTGTTCTCTTTAAATGATACTTGACGGACTTTACACTGGCTTCCCATAGCCCTCCGAAATTAGGGGACTTGGGAGGTATAAAGTTCCAGTCTATTCTTTCGGACGTGAAATGTGAGGCCAAAGTTTTATCAGGAAAATTAATTACATTGTAAAATTTCTTCAACAGAGAATTTGCTCCTACAAAATTAGGGGCATTATCAGTGAATATTTTAGCACATTTGCCACGTCTGGCCATGAAACGCTTAAGAGTGGCAATTAAAGCACTAGAAGTTAAATCTGACAAAGGCTCAAGATGAATAGCTCGTGTCACAAAACATATACATACACAAATGTAAATTTTATTTAGCACGCCCTTTCTCTGATGCTTGTAAGTCACATAAAAGGGACCACATAAAGTCTCTATACTCAAACTATCTTCCTGAATGTTCCATTGAATTCCTAATACCTTTAGTATCTTTTCATTTGAGCTTAGGGGATGAATGTCAAAATTTTCTTCTTCCCATTTTTTAGCTAAATGATTATCATTCGTCACCCATTTGTGTAGGTTCATCCCAGCTCCACACATAATTTCCTTTGCTTCCCTTGAAGTTTTTAACAATTCTGATACATCATCTGCTCCTGTAACAAGATCATCAACATACATACATGTATCAAGAATTTGAAAGGTACTGGGATACACATTTCTGTACTTTTGGATATGCAGCTTTATAGTTGCCGCTAACAAAAAAGGACTGGAATTAACACCAAAGAGCACACGCTTAAATCTATGCACCTCTAGCTGATCCTCGGTATTCTGCAAACGTGTATCAATATTCTTAACAAATAAAAATCTAACTGCATCTCGATCTTTCTCAGCTAACACGATCTGTAAAAATGCCTTTTCGATATCTCCCAAGATTACAACTCTATTAAGTCTAAAATATATCAGCATGTGAAATATATTTTGATTCAGAATTATACCTGGCCACAAACAATCATTCAGGGACAGACTACATATTTCATGTAAGCTCGAATCAAATACAATATGCATTTTTGTTGTAATGCTTTCTTCTCTATAAACTGCCTGATGCGGCATATAAAAAACTGGCGTGTTTACTGTTTTCGTGGAATCTAATACTCTTTCTATTATCACTTGATTTAGGTACTCTTCTAAAGTTTCTCTGTATTTTAGGTATGCTGCATCATGCTGCATTTTCCTCATCAGGATCTTTATTTTTTTTTCTGCGACACCAAAATTGTCGCCTAGATGTTCCCAACTTTTCTGCCAAGGCAGGCTAACAATATACCGACCATATTTGAAACTAACAATTTTGTTGAATATCTCTAATGCTTTATCTTCATCGTAAGAATTGAGATCATCTCTAACATTAATTGATTCCAAATCAAAAAACTTCTTCAACTGTGCTTTGACATCGTCACAAATTAACCCACAATGCATTAATTGTTTCTCATGTGGTAAATCTTCAATGCTACCACTTACCAAATACCCAAATGCTGAATTTTGTAACACTAAATTTGTATTTGGTACATAAATTTGCCCGGATCTTATCAAATCGAAAAATATTTCAGATCCTAGAAGTAACTGAATTTTACCCGGTTTGTGAAAGTCTGGATCAGCTAACGTAACTCCTTGTGGAACCTCAACATTACAGACATCAATTTGTCTAGAAGGCATCAAATGAGTAATTTTCGGAATTACGAAAAAATCTAGTTTATGACTGTATGTGTTTCCTCTATTCAAAATAACCGCACTTATTTTTGATTTCACCGTTGTTGAAATCCCAGATAAACATCCTACTGATACGTTTACATTTTCTCTTTGCAAATGAAGCTTCTCAGCTAATTCCGATGAACAAAGAGGAATCGTACTTCCACTGTCAAGCAAAGTTCTGGCTGGAAATATTTTTCCTTCATTTCCCTTAATATAAACAATCACTGTCGATAGTAGGACTCTATATTGACTGCATTAAAATTTTTATTTACATTAGCTGTCATAAAACACTCGCTTATCCTTACTTTATAAATTGGTTGTGCGTGAACGTTCAGTTTCGCTACTTTCCGTAGACTGAACTTGGCGTCTGACTTTTTGATCCGACAGAGACACGATTTCGCAACTGTCTCTATTTTGGGGAAATCGAAACGTTTTCTCGCTCATAACACAGTAACGAATTGTGCTTTTTTCTGCATAGCCTACTAGAGTAATTTGAAGGGCAATTTCTCATTCCATGATTTCCAAAACAGCAGAAACATAAGTTGTGCTTTTTAGCATACTCGACTCTATCCTTTAAGCTGAATTTTTTAAATTTAGGGCATTTAAATAATTTATGTTCCACATTACACAGTTTACAAATTAGAAACCTTTGATTGACTTACTGAAGCTTTTGATTTAGACATTACTGGAATTCTAGAAGCGTTTAATGTCCTCGCATAATCCTTTAGAAATTCTAATAACTCTGTAATGTTTGGTATTTTTTCTTTCTTTAAATTCCTTTCCCACCATAACTTAGTATTCTGATCAAGTTTCTGGCTAAGAATAAAGGCAAATATAGCGGATGAAACCCCATCTAACTTTTGTTCTAAACATTCTAAGGATCTTACAACTTCACTTGTAACATCAATTAAATTTTGAATCGCAGAAGCTGACTCGTTTTGAATAACGGGAATACTCATAAATCTTTTGAAGATGAGCATACACTTGTTCTCTAGGATTCGAGTATCTTTCTTCAAGGAGAAGACCATGATAACTTATAATTATTATCCGTTATAGCTATCGTTTGGATAATTCTAAAAGCATCTCCTTTCAGTGCTGATTTCAAATACTTGCAATTTTACAGCATCTGATAAATTTGGGATTTGATCAAATACTTGCTTTAAAAATGTCCTTAAAGCTGAAAGCCAAGAATGCATTTCTCCTGAAAATGTCGGTAATGAAATCTTAGAATTTTAAATGCACAATTACAGTATTTTCAGAAAGTACTGCATTTTCTACTTTATTTTCTTTACAACGTTTTCGATAATCTATTATTTTAGTTTCAAATTCCATATCGAATAAGACTTACTGTTGAAGTTCATCTTGCTCACTTCAAGATTTTTTTCGATATTTTCTTCACTACTTAAATTGAATAATAGAATCAAAAATATTATCAAATTCATTTTGCAGATTGTTAAATTTAGTTTTTAACAATTCTAAATCACTAACACTTAAATCTGGCTCACAAAGTTTCTTTTGCAACTTCGATTAGATAGTTTTTTGAGTTCTCTTTTTAGTGAGAACATCTTTCAGTTTCGTAGCCATTTTCGCTACACTTATCAATAATAAAAAATTATTGCACAAACTTAATTCAGAATTTACTAAATGCAATAGTTAATAATGAATAGAGTGTCAAGGGTTTTTTACTTACCCCTTTCTTTCAGCAACTGGCTATAATCCACAAACACAAATTCCATAGAAACAAATGGCAAACTCACTGTTTCACACTAGATTATTTACTTAGCTGATATACCTGCGACTCTATTGGACTACTCAAATGGTCCGGCAAATTCTAAATGGACTGTAACTCTCAATTAAATTAATTAACAAACTACTCTGTAACATATCTTTATCTTTAGTATACTAATTTTTGGAAGACGCTCAGGCTCCCACAATCACTCTCTGCTTCACCATTGAAGCCAACTCTAAAGTAATTAACATTATTTTTCAACAGTAACGATGGCAGCGCCATCTGGCTTCAGAGGGACTTAACACATGTTATTGAGAAAATATTTATTTGTTGGATATTGAGAAACAGTATGCGATTGGGAAAATAGGAGTGAGACAGATATTGATGTAACCTCTGTAAAATCTTAAAAGTAGCCAAAATAGTCATGTCAAGAATGTTAAAGATTAAAGAAGGAATTAAAGACACTAGCAATGTATACAAAAATCGAGGGTGAAAACATGTCACAATAGACTCTCAGAACTATTATTTAATAACAATTTCTAAAAGAAATAAGCAGTTGATGTCAGCCTGGATTGCAAGGGAACAGGAACTCAACTGTGTTCAAATATACCATGAGTTACTGACTACATAAAGAGGACTGTATACAAGGAAACACATAATTGTGTCTCACTAGCTTGGGCTGCAAAATGCACTTAGTTGCTGTGGTGTAAGAGATCATTGTAACTGGAGTCAAGTCTCGTTATTATTGTGCAGGGGCGTAGCTAGAGGGGGGCAAGGGGGCATCTGTCCCCAGGCGCAGAATCCAAGGGGCGCCAAACTGATGTTACAACATTTTAGAATAAAATGTTTTCCATCCTTGGTAAGCAGTAGGGGGCACGAAATCTTCAGTTGTCCCTGGGCGTTGAAAACCCTAGCTACGACTCTGTTATTGTGTGCAATTTGAAGGGAGAAAAACACATGCATAAGTTAGAAAATATCTGTTAGTTATCTAAATAGTTAGAAATATGCCTTTTAAGGCATTGCCACAAAGAAGGATAGATGTGTAGTATGGGCAGGCATCATCTCGAATGTTCAAATTTTTACCAGTGCAACTATAAAGTTAAGTTTTTTTATCTTCATATCAACGTGTTTAGGGGTGCATTTAATAATAACTTCCTTCTAATAGATAATAATACTTGTCCCCAGTGTGTTGCACGAGTGACTGATTATTAAGAGGACAAAGAAATCCATTGGATGGAGTGGCTCATTTATTTTCCAGGTATAAATTCAATAGAATATGTGGAATGAATTTATATGCTTACTTGCATCACTGCAGGCTCCCACTTTGGATTTTCTGTGTAGGAGTTTGAAGGTGTTATTCATCATGAAAGCACTTTTTTACCGCAGAAATTCCTAGACATGTAATCTAATATGCAGGATGGAAAATCACCGTAAAGCCTGCATTTCAGTCAGAAGTGACCGCATATCATATTCATTCGTTCTGTGTATCTTCATATATGTTTCTGTTTTACTGGAAGACTCCCTGTTTTTCAACACATCTTCTGGTTTCCCAGTAGATCATCGAATGTCATGGTTTTTAATTTTTAGCTTTTACCAAGAAAATGTTTTTCTGTAATAAATGATTTATTGAATTAATGAAACTTAAAATTGTACAAATTGCCTTCCCCCACTTCTAGTGAATTTCAAAATAATTTTTTCCATTAAATTTTATTTCATCTGAATGTATTACTTTTAATTATTAATTTTGTATGTTAGAATTTCATTTGATAGTTGTCCCAATCCATTACAGACATTTGAAGAATTTTATATGAAGATTCATACTATGTTTTATGTTAATATTTTTATTTTAATTTGTTTTACTTTAATATTGTGGTACATTATATAGTTTAATCTGCATAAAATAATATGTACATTAATTATTAATTTTATATTCATCATTTTGTTTTTTTTTTTTTTTTTTTTTTTTTTTTTTTTTTTTTTTTTTTTTTTTTTTTTTAAAAGTATTTGATAAATTAAAGCTTTTCTTCCCTACTTATTATTCCCTCAGTATAAAAATGTAAAAATATTAAAAAATGAAATTAGCCAAAGATTATAAAATTTAAAATATCTTAATAAGTATATTTTATAATAAGAATTGTATGATAAATAGTTCAGTAATGTGAATTATGGATATTTTTAAGTGAATTTTAATTCCTGGACATCTAATCTAATACACAGTGTGGAAAATCACCGTAAAGTTTGCATTCATTAGAAGTGACAACACATGATATTCATTTATTTTATGTATCTCTGTAACTCAATTTGGAAATTTCTAGTTTCTTTGAAATGGCATAGCGGTGCAAAAAAATCAAGGAAGGTAAGGAAGAGGAACAGGACAAAGAAGATAAATTTTATTTTATTCCTCTTGGTTAACTAAGATGGTTAGCAAAGTTTAATGCATATTATTAGCTAAAAAATGCATTTTCTTAGTTTGATTGTTGTTATATAAGTACATGCTCCATTATAAAAGAATCATATAGGAAGAAGTCATTGAAGTTGTAGCTAAAAGTACAGTTTTTGTTAAAATTTTAGTTCTCACTCTCCCCTCTTATGTGGTGTATTCAGATGCCATGTATGTTCATAATCCATCAAAATATCTTAAGTTTTGTCCTTTTGTTTGTAGTGTCTCTTATAGCACATTATTTTTACTTGCATGCATATTTTTATTAAATTCAAGTAAAGAGTAATTTAACTGTTTGGAACAGAAGATGTATGTCCCACAAAGTTAAAGAAATATGTGAGATAAAGTTAGATTGTCAGATAATAATTAAAAAGAATTTAAATACCATAATAACTGTACTTGTTCATGTATTGTAAAAAAGGTATTCTTTAGTGAATTAATGCTGTGTCTAAAGAAGGCTAAGAAAACTCCTTAGATCATAGTGTGTAATTTCTGTTCCATTTGTATTTAATTCCAAAAAAAATTGTCTTGTTGAACTAGAGTTGCAAATTACATTTTACAGATGAAATCAGTAAACTGGAAATGTTAATACAAAGGAAACAGACAAAAAAATTATGTAATAAATTTAAGGCTGTCAGAGGAGAATTAAAAATTTTTGTTAAAATAATTTCTCTGTGAAATGAGATTGTAGCTTTACTCTTTCTGCAGCACACTATTTACTTATGCTAAACATGAAACAGTAGCCCAAGCTCATGCATTATTGAAAATCTGCTTGTAAACTTAATCTTTACCCAAAATTTAGGTACTAACAGCTTAGTATTGAGTATTCTTATTATAAAGTCTTATTAATATTAATAATAAACATTTTGTTTTGTTGTGATAGGACAATTTTGATTATGTTGTATGTGAAGAATGTTGTGATTAGACAATTACGATTACATTATGTTAAAAAAATGTTTTGGTAGAAGAATGTATGTATGCATTTTGAAGTGAAGATTTTGATTGTGGACTAAGAATTTCTTCACCAAGATCTCTCTCTCCATATGTATTTAATAATAGAACTCTATTAATCCTCAAGTTCTGTGTCAGAGAACTATTTGGCAGCCATCTTCTGTGTTCTTGTCTACAATATCTGCAATTAGTCTGGCTTAAAGTAATCATTTAAAAAAAAATAATAAGCCCAATGTATTGGTATCAAACTTAAAGGGAATGAAATATACAGTACAAAGTCCGTAATCCAGACTCATCAGGACTTCAGCGATTCCGGATTATAGATCATCAATTTAAATCTGGTAAGATGGCATGCAGAAATTATACAATTAAAAATATGAAACCGTAATTTATGAAATAAAGAGCAATTATGATCTAAAGGGTATCAAAATTTACAAAAAAAAAAAAAAAAGTTTCATATTTATTTGTTTACTTTATTAAACATTTCTTTCAATGTAAGTTGTTTAAGTTGCTTCGTTTTTTGTGCTACTACTTTCTCTTTAATTCTATAAACAGACATAATTTCTTGTTCAGTTACGAAGTTCCACCTATCAGAAGTGATATTTTTTGGATCTAGAACCATACTACAGATTTCACTGTCTGTTAATTGATTGATGATTGGGGCATTGTTGTCGCAATGAAAAACTTCTGTTATATCATCTTCATTTATTACCACTTCTCCACATTTCTTTACAAAATCCAATAACTGCAAAATTTCACCTTTAGTTTGCAATGTCCGAAAACTTTCAAATTCGCGGCTATTATCTTCATCGTTCTCACCATGAAATATGGTATCTGACCGTAAATTACGCCAAGCTTTTTTTAATGTATCTGGAGACACATCCACCCAACACGCATGCACATGCTTAAATGCGCATTAATGTGCATGCGTAAAGCATACAAAAAAAAAAGTTTGTGGCTTTGAGGTCTGGATTATAGATCATTCCAGATAATGGACGTCTGGATTACAGACTTTGTACTGTATTATGAAAAAATACAGAAGTACTTAGGTTTCATAACAAACAGCATGAGTTTTGAATATTTATTTTCCAGA